TTGAGCTGTGTGTGTGTGTGTGTGTGTGTGTAGGGTGGGGTTGGACATGGTCACACTTTCAGCCCCTACTCATTGTCAGAGTCAACAGATTGACCTGAGCCTCCAATGGTTTCCCCTGGTGGTAAATTGCACAGGACACTGTCCATCATTCTCCTGAGGAGTCGGCAGATCCCAACAGCCAGAGGGGGCCCTATGGCTTAGCAGGGCAACTCCCTAGAGAATATATCACCTGAGCATTGTTGGGTTTTTTAGCTCAGCCACCAGAATTGAGGAAAAAGGTGTGGATGTAAGGGTTTGGAGAACCGTGTGGACCGCACGCAAGCAAGCCTGAGCCACTTCATGGCCCCTGTTAGGAGGTGCAGGCCAGCAGACTATGACTCAGTGAGCCTGTGAAAAGACTGGAGTTAGAGTGGGGTTAGCTACCTCCGGGCAGGTCACCGGAGCTGCCTGGCCCCTGTGCCTGGCGACCTACTCGGACACCAGGTCCTGCACGCACTCTGCGTGGGAGGCACGAAGGCAGCACACTGCTTGGCCGGTAGTAAGCGCTCAGTAATAACAGCTTTTATTATCACCAGCTCGGAGGCAGGGAGGAGTGATAAGGGCCGGAGGAGATGGCGGGAGGAGCCAGAGGCGGCAGGGACAGCGAGGGGTGGGGCTGGTGACGAGGGAGGGGGCGCTGACCTGCATGGGGGCTGGGTTGGGGCAGGAGTCAGCCAGCAGCCAGCGCTTGGAAGGCCAGGACATGTTCTGGACACAGCAGCAGGGGTCGCTCTCAGGGCCTGAGGCTGGCAGGAGGCTCCATCTCCAGGGCAGGCTCGAGCAGGCACTGACAGGCGTGTGCACTCCTTGGACTTGGGGATGCGTGCCCGGCAGGCCGGAGCCCAAAGAGGGGTTGGGCACTTAGAGGGGAAGTGAGAGCAGGGCAGGGGGGACGAAAGGGTCCCCCACCACCCTGGTTACTGACCTGGACACTCATGCCTGGTGGCAGGACATCGCAGAGCCATCTACAGGCTTGGGGCCATTCCAGCCAGGGCTCGACCCACGGGGCCATGCTGGCCGGTGGGAGGTGGCGAAAGGACAGAGCAGGGCAGATAAGGGCGTGAGCAGGGCTAGGCCCGGCCGGGTGGGAACGTGGAAGGGGCGCGAGGTGGGAAGCTGGACCTCTCCTAACCTTTCCCCCCCTTGGCTGGGACGGGGCAGGGGATGCAGTCTAGGCCTGGCAGCGCCCTGTTCGCCAGACCCCAACCCTGACTGCCCGGAGGGCTGGCCCGGGGCCCCGCCCCCTCAGACCAGCGCGTAGTCGAACTGCCCGCGCTCGAGCGCCTCCTTGTGGTCGGTCCAGGACGAGGCAGGCATGCGGCTGTAGGGGTCGAGCAAGATGCGCACGCAGCGGACCATCAGCAGCACCAGAACCACGAGCAGACAGAGCACGAAGGCGAACACCGTGCGCTGCTCCGCGTCCAGGCCCGCGCCCACCGGGGGCCCCGTCGACGGCGGCAGCGGTTCCGGGGACAGTGTCCACGTCGCGCTCATGGCTCACATCGCCGCGCGCCCTGGGGAGGGAAGGAGGCCGCCCGGGCGGGGATGAGGCAGCGCCCTCGGCCCCTCCGGTCCCAGTGCCCCACCCTCACCTTGCGGGGTCCCCGCGCCGCTATCCTCGGGCCACGCCCATGTCAGTGGCGGGCATGTTGCTACTGCCACGCGGGAACCCGAATCCGGGCGCGCGCCGGTGGGGGAGCTGAGCGAGCTGGGGCGCCCAGCCGGCGGGCCCGTGCACAACAGGTGCGATGCACGGCCATGGCCCTGGCCCGTGGAGGCGAGTCCGCCCGTCCTCGCCCTGGCCTCTTTGTCTTGCTTCCCAGGGATCCCTCCCCCCACCACCCCGGCCCCCGCGCGCCCCTCACCCTGGGCTGGACCTGGACGGGGACAGACTGGCTGGCAGCCGCTCTCCGAGGACCCACGCCGGCTCCGCTCAGGCCTCTCCCCAGCGGTGCTGGCGGCGGTGGCGGCCCAGGTTCTGGCTCAGCCCACCCCACCCGCCCCTGGATCGCTGGCGACCGAGGCAGGCGAGCTGCTCGCAAGCGGGGCGCCGTGGCTGTTCCCATGGCGACAGGGGCGGGGCCGCCGCGGCGGGCGGGGCCACGGGGGGGCGGAGGCTACGGAGGGAGCTGAGCGCGGGTGCCTGGTCGCCAGCCACCTGAGGAGACCCCCCTGGGGAACCCAGGAGCTCAGGTGCCTGGTCCCAACCCTACAGGCACTCTGACCCTGCAGGAAGCCCAGCCAGGTCCTAGAAGTGGGATTGCTCTTAGTCTCTTGGGAGAGCCCCTGCCGGCCACCGGTTTCTAACATAAAGGGTGGAGTTTGCCCACAGGCCCCTAGGAAGAAAGGTCTGGCAATTTGCACCTGAAAGGTCACAGCTTTGCAGTACCTCTGGGGTTGCCAGGAGTTGTACTGGCTCCTGTTTCTTCCTGTCCTTAGTGTCCCCTTCTCTAAGGCTCCCACCCTTACTGGGGCTGTAGTCCCTTACTGCCCCAGCCCCACCCACCCCAAAGACACTGGCTTGGGCCATCCAAGTTGCTCTTCTGCACTTTGGTATTTTATTATTTCCAAAAATCTCAGACTCATGTACAGGAAGTAAGGGCACAGTTAAAATAAAAAATACACAGCTAAAATGTCCTGGCCACGGTAGCCAGTGGGCCACCCCGAGTGGCAGGATCTGGGCTCCACAACCCTGCCTCTGAGGGGCTCCCTGGATCCTGGGGCCTCTTGGCACCGCCTGGACGTATGCACCCCTCCCAGCCAACTTGCCAATGGCCCCACTGTGGGGTAGAAGCAAGGGCTGGTGCCAGGGGGTGGGTTCCAGCCACTAGTGCTCTGCAGCACCCAACCCTTCCCCAATGCTGATTATGCCTGGCCCCAATGTCCATCCTGGCCGCAGTGGGCCCAGTCCATTCCCCTGTCTGCTGTGCCTGGAGACCTCGGCAGGGCCACACTCAGAGAATCTGCTCTGTGCTGGAGGCTGAGATGTCCAGGAGGCGCCAGGCAGCGTAGGGGTTGAGCTCATCCTGGTCTCGGCAGAGAGCCCATACATACAGCATGCGCAGAACCTTGTCCTGCAAGGGGTACAGAGGACTCAGAGGGCGTTGGACATCACCAGCATCCTCCCAGGGCTGCTCAGGACCTTTACTGGTAAAGAGCAGGCCAGAGCTTCTAATCCTGACACTGCCTGGGGTCCCTCCAGAGACTGCTATTGGGCACTGGGGGCTATGTCCTTCCCTGGCTGTAGACCTCACTTACTGGGTCACCTGCATCCCTCCAAGGGGCCATTCGTGGGCATTGGGAGCTGTGTCCTGCCCTGGCTGTACAACCTACTCACCAGGTCAACTTTGTCCCTCCCAGAGGATGCTCCTGGGCAGTGGGGGCTGTGTCTTGCCCAGCTTTAAACCCCACTCACCGGGTCACCTTCGACCACTTCACCTCTGGGGTTCTTGACCACCATTACTAGCTGGGCCTGGAAGGTGATGATCAATACCGGTCCTTGCTCCATCATCTTGCCCATGGCCAGCTTCAGGAGGAAAAGAATCCAACAGGTGGGCAGCCTCAGAGGGCATCCAGCCCTGAGATGGAGCCCCTGCTCTGGAGAACTTGTCTATCGAGGGGCAGGTGTGCCAGCACCTAGAGCCCTGCTTCTGGGCCACAGGCAGGGCCCAAAGAGGCCCTGCTCCACCTGCACATGGCTCCCATCCGCCCCTTCTGTGGGCAAGCCACTCACTGCCCTTCACCCAGACAAGTCCAGACTCGCCAAGGTCCTGTGCAGACCCTCAGACCATGGGACCTACGTCCTAACAAAGCCTGCCCCTCCCAGGCAGGTGCAAGGACATCGCAGCAAAGAGGTGCGGGGCACTGGAGATCTGGACACCCCACTGCCTAAAATTACCCCAAAGTCAGGGCTTAGAAACTGCACTGGAGGGGCTCTGGCTCAGAGTCACTCATGTCAAGCTCTAGGACCAGCTCCCTGCAAGAGAGCTCCAGGCATACTGGAAGCACCCAGGACAGACATGACCCAGGCCCTCAAAATGATGTCTCCCAGACCCGGCCACTGCCTCCGGCCCCAGGAGAGATGCTTACGTCGATATTGTCAATGTCCAGGATTCGGGAGTGGAACTGGAGGCCCAGCGCCTTGGCCTGCTGGATCGGGTAGGCCAGCTGGCTGTAGGTCTGCAACCAGAGAACAGGCCAGTGGGCACAGGCACCGAGGACCCCAAGCTTAGTGCTGCATCCCAGGGGTAACCCCTGTGCAGTTGGGGCCGCAGTGACCCCGGGCGCTGGCAGCCACGTCCTGCCTGGGACAGCCCCCTGGCAGGCGAGATCCCCCAGCTGAGTGCTGGGCTCCGGGCCCTGCGGGCTGTGTGCACCTTCCAGAAACGGCTGGCTCCTGCGGCTTGGTGTGCTCTCGCCAAGCAAGGGCCGGCGCCAAGAGGCCGGGCCAGGCAGGGGCTGGTGCCGGGATGTGCTGGCCTGGCCCGGGTCCCCTGCGACCCGCTATTAGGAAGAAAGCCCAGAGCAGAGACTATGGAGTCACGGCGACATTAATCAGAAAAGTGGGCTGTTCTCCCAGAAGACAATCTAAACACTCTCGGGCCTGCCGGCGCGTGAGCAGTACTCACCTCACCCTGAACCTAGGCTCTGGCGCCTCTTCTAGGACTGGAGCTGTCCTGAAGCCACCCCTTTTCCTGACTGGCTGCCCCCTGTCCAGCCTGTTGGTTTTCTCTAAAGCACCAGGAGCCACAAAGCTGGTGCACTCAGGGCAACCCTGTCTATGTCAGAACAGACCTCACACCACAGGGCTCCAATAGCTGGTTTTCCAGAAGCAGACCACCAGGCCCTTCTTCCGACGCACACCTGAGCAGCCTCAGCCGGCCCTGCTCACCTCTCTACGTCAGGGCGTCTCCTGCCTCCCCTTGGGGGGAGGATGCTCTAACACTTGTGTAGGAGCCCTAACACACAACCATAATCCCCTAGTGCCGGCTGGGGCCATCCTGGCCGCAAGACACAGGCTCTGGGACACGTGTGTCCACATGTGCTTCTGCTGGAGGCGCCTCCGAGTCTGGCAGACAACGGTGGCGGGAGACATTCCAACAGCATATACTTTTTATGGAAATCGGCGCTCTGCTGAGGGAGGGAGAGAAGTGGTGTGAAGCCTGGATGCCGGCTTCCTCCAAAACGACGCTCCAGAACAGCGAGGTGCGAGCGCACCACCGCGGCTGTTCCCAGGGTGCCAGCGGGGCTGTGTTTGCCAGAGAATCAGCCCCATCTTAACAGTCCCGGAGTCAAAAACACAGAGACGCTGGCGGGATTAGTCACAATGCAGGGGAGTGTTTCAAACCAAGCCCTGACATCTCAGCTTTTTTCAGGGTTGTTTATGAGCGAGTGCGGAATGGAATTAGCCTAAAAAGACTGGATTGCTCAAGGCAGAGGCCAGCAGGGCAGGGAGCGAGGCAGCTGAGAGGTGGTGGCCTAGCCTGTGGGGAAACAGGTCACCCGTGCTCCGGGAATGGCTGGCTGTCTTGTCACGGCCCAGCAGTGACAGGCTGTGCGACCCTGTGCTCCACGGAGGTGGCCGCCAGCAGGATGTGCGGCTCCTCAGTGGTCCCCGCCCCTGGGCCTCGACTCCGGGATCTTGTGTGAACAGTGTCCAGGCACTGCTGCCTGCACTCGGCCCTCTGGACTTGGGGACAGGCATCAGGATGAGAACAGTCCACGGAGGGGTGGGCTGCTCCCCGACCACCCACCTCGCCTGCTTGATCACAGCACGGGGAGCGAGTAACTCACCCTTATCACCAGCTCTCCTTCCACCCAGCCTGCACCCCATGGGCCACCACAACCACGGGAGCTGCTCTGTCATGTCCAGGCTCTGGACACAAGACAGACAAGCACAACGGGGCTCAGCTAAACAACGCTCATCTTAGCAACAGCTCAAGTACCCTCAACAACGTGCTCTCGGTTACGATTAGTAGATGACGGAGGGAGGAGACAGAGGCTCTGCCAAAGGGCGCTCTGCAGCCTCTGCCTCTCCCTCGTGGCACTCCGCCTTCTCCCTCATGGCACCCCTCCCGCCTCTCCCCCACAGAACCCGCCTTCTCCCTCACAATACCCCTGCCTCTCCCCCACAATACCCCTGCCTCTCCCCCACAGCACCCCCACCTACCCTCAAAGCACTCCTGCCACCCCCACCTCTCCCTCACTGCACCCCCCTCTCCCACAGGACATGCCCGCCCTCCTTCCTGATGCCCTGATGGCTGGCCGCTCTGGACAGGGTGGCTCAGGTGGACGCGGGAAGATCCTGGCCCTTTAGACAATTCGGGCCGCAAGTCAGGGATGGCGCTCAGTGTCCAGAGTGGACACCAGAGCCCCAGCCCTGGGCGTTCTGGCAGGTTCATGGCACCCAGTCCCCGGGTGCGATGAACGCAGGCTCTGCACGAGCTTCGGGTGCTAAGGCAGGGCCTCCCCTCCTCTTCCTCCAGGAACCTCGCCCTGAGCAGACGCAGACCGAGGGGGCAGAGCACTCACGGCTTCGTAGCACCAGTCTTTGAGAATGTCCAGCTCTCCAGCAATCATGGCCTGTGGGGAGATGGGACGGTCAGCAGGTAATGGGGCACTGCCAGCAGCGGCCCTGGCGTTCTCCCTCCAGGACTTTCATCTGGAGACCTGGTCCCCCGTGGGTGCTGCCCGCTCTGCCCGAGGCCCTGCATATGCGTGTGGCTCTGGCTTCTGCTGCTGGCGTGGAGGCAGCTTGGGGGAAACCTAGGGGTGCCCACAGGCTGGGAGGAAGGAGACAGTGCTGGGTTCTGCCGGCTCCCACCTCCTCCAGGGATGACGCTGTGAATAGCCTGTAAAACCCCCGCACCACCAGGGACGGTGCCAGCTGAGGGCAAGGGGCTGTCCGCGGGCACTGGGGGCTCCTGTGGTGTGACAGGAGGTGGGGGTGGGGTGAATAGTGGGTTGGCGGGAGCCATGGTGTGGGCCCCACTCAACGCCCAGAAGAGTTCGCCCTGTTGCGGCCGTGGTACGGGGGCTCGTTCCCATTGCAGCCCGTCACAGCCTCACAGGGGGCAGTGTGCTTCTTAGGGAACAGGAGGAAGGACGGACCCTTACGAGGCTGAGGACGGGGCCAGAATCTACACAGGGGGCAGGGGCAGCCAACAAGGGCCTCCCAATCTCGTGACAGCCAATCTCCTGCCACATCCGGCAGGACAGGCAGAAATGCGGAGGGGCAGGGCCATGACTGTGAGGAGAGGTAACCTGGAAGAGCAGAGGGGAGACCAGAAGCCAGGTTCGCAGCTCCCCACGGAGGCCCCCAGGAGACAACCCTCGTCCCTGCTCACAGCAACCTGAAGGGACCAGCTTCAGGTTGAGGTGTGAACCACGGCGGCCACAGGTCCAGCTGAGCCTCACTGGGCACGGCGGCCACAGGTCCAGCTGAGCCTCACTGGGCACTAGAGAGGCAGCGCCCAGGGAGGGAGAGAGGCCTGTTTCCGTGGAGCAGGCACTTCCTATGGACGTGGGATGTGAAAAGTCATGGTCAAGGCCAGACCTGGCTCTAAACCAGTGACACCAAGCCAGTGGAAGGCTGGGTCCTTGGAGTGGTGTGACCACCTGGCCACGGCCCACAGCCACGTCACCCTGGGAACCCTGGCCTCCAGCTGTGGTGTCTGAAGGATGTGTGTCTCCAATGCCAGCCTTGAGAGGTACAGGCAGGGAGAGACAGCACCCACCTCCAGGACATTGGGGATGATGTCGTCCTCACACTGCCGCAGGAAGCGGTCCTTGTCGAAGGTGGGGTCCACCCTCAGGATCTCTGTGAGCACCTCTGACATCTCCGTCTTGGAGAACAGGCCACCTGGGGAAGCAGAGCAGGTGATGGGTGGTGGGCAGGACCCCTGTGCGACCAGCCAGGCCGGGCCAGGGTGGCTCACTCACCCAGCACGTCTGTGACCTTGTCAGTGAGAGCCCGGGACGCGCGGATGAAGGCGTTGTCGCTCTCATCGTATTTCATCTTCATCTCGAAGAAGCCTGAAAGGGGGGGGGGGGGTGTGCGGGCTCAGGGCACCTCTGAAAACACACCCGCAGGCTACAAGTCCCAGGGCCCCAGCGTGGCCCAGCCCCACCACACTGGCGACGTGCGGGCCCTCTCTGAACCTGGTGCCAGGCCTGCCTCCTTCAGAGGACACGGAGGGCCCTCAGCAGGATCCATCGGGGCGTGTCAACTAGGTGGAGCCACCTGCTAGCTGGCACTTCCACTACAAAGGAACACAGCCCAGAGACCCTTAAGGGACCCCCCCTCCACCTACAGCCAAGAGCACAGACCCTCCCCCAGGGTCCAACAGGCTTCAACATCAGGGTCCCCTTGAAGCACTCGGGGAGGTGGGGAGGCCTGGCTGCCCCTGCTGCCGCCTCATTGGCTCCACGCCCTGACAGTACCCTCGCAGTGTGGGCTCCTCCTCAGTCGTGCAGGGCAGAGGCTCGGGAGCGGAACCCCGGGCAGAGGGGGCCCAGGCCTCCTTGATCTCAAGCCTAGCAGAGATGTGCTGTGTCCACTGTTGGCCCTGGTGACTCATCACAGCCACCTCCCTGCCGGCACACTGCTGGGTACCCAGAAGGCCCAGAGCCTCAGCACTCACGATTGAAGACGACGTTGTTGTCCCTGAAGTCCTTCCACTGCTGGTACCACTTGGAGTCCTTGTGGAGCACCACTCCCAGGGCCTCCCTGGGGACGAGGGACAGACGGCTGAGCAGAGGCCGGGGGATATGGGGCAGCAGTGGGACCGACCACCAGGACTGGCCTCCTGCCTCTCTCCTTCCCCATCCCACTCCCTCGCCCAGCACCCCGGGAGCCAGGACGCTGAGGAGCAGGCGAGCACACACTCCCGGGCTGGAGGGGCGAGCACGGCAGCCACCCCGCCGCTCCCTGAGACGTACTCATTGGGCTCAAACACTTTGTCTTCCTTGATTTTCTCTCCTGCAAACTCTGTCCTCTTCCGGAGCCGCTCGGGCCTCCGGTAGGGCCCGGTCTGCCCCAGGACGCTCTCGTCGATCTCCTTCCGCACAGACTCCACGCCCTGTGTAGACGCATGGGGTATGGGGGACACTCAGGCCCAGAGGATGCCAACACCTCATCCACCCGGAATGCCTCCAGTCTGTGTGGCGTGCTCCAGGTGAGGACGGAACCCCAGAGCAGCCTCAGCCCGACCTTGGGCCTGACTCCACCCCATGTACCAGTCAGGCACGCACGCGCCCCTTTTTCAGGGCATAGTGGGCCCTGTCTGTGGACACCTTCCAACCTCACCTGGGCAAGGACACCCACGAGTCCCAGGGAAGGAGACAGGTGGGTGCTGAGGGGGACCTCACCACTGCTCCCGACTTCCACCTAACCCCCCACCCCTTCTCCAATGGCAGGCACAGCCCCAGACGCCCTAGAAGGCTTTAAGTTCCAGGACCCATTCTCCCACGAAACCACGTGGTCACTCGCACCAGAAGCCCCACAGTCAGTCGTGGAGCATCTATGCCCACTCTGCCCTTCCAAGCTGACCCAGCCTGTGGGCCCTCCCTCCTGGGACCTCGAGGTGCTCCAGGCCTGCTCCCCATTCAGGCTTCCTGTTCCCACTTCCTGTGCACTCTGCTTCCTAAATGACCCGAACCCGTGTGGCCCACAGGGCCATGTGAGTGCCCTGCTGGCCACCTGCTGGGCCCCTGGCGCCGCTGCCCTGCCTGCTCTCGGCCCACCAGGCTGCTGCCCCCCGGCCCACAGCACTCTCCTGGCCCACCCTTCTCTTGGCAGAGGAAGCACGGAGTTTGGGGCACCACGTGTCCTTTTGTTATCCCTCTCCTGGACTTGATCTCCTATGACCCCCAAGGACTCAGTACATACCCAGCCTCTATGGACATTCACACCAGACTTCTGTGAGCTCCACTTTACAAACAGAAGAGCATGGCCAGCTGACACTGGGGTGCAGGCTCTTGACATGCTAACCCGTAGAGTCCATGGGGGAGTGAGGTGGGCCTCCCCACCAGACCCACTGTGCACTACTCGACCCTAGGGTATGTGTAAGAAGGCGGCTGTGTGTGCAGACGTGAACTCTGACCTCCAGTCTTGGATGCCTAAGCTGAGAGTACCTGGAAGCCACCTGGAGGTGGGCAGCTCTGACCACCCGAAGCACCTGCCTGGCCTGGCCCGACCCTTGACCCCGCAGCAGCTGGCTGGGCAGAGCTCACCTGGGAGAGGGCTCGGAAGGCTGCGGTCCTGCCCAGCTTCTCACCGCCCTTGGACACGGACTCGGCCGACTGCTTGGCCGTCTTGGCTGCTCCTTCTACACCCTCCTTGAATTTCCTCCCAAAGTCACTTTTACTGACTTCATCAAGACTCTACTGAGACAGAGATGTGGTGAGGAGGTTAGTACCCACTGGGCATGTTGGGGGACAGGACCAAGGCAGTCTCAGCTCCAGCAAGTCGCCAACCTGAGACTCAGCCTCATGCACTCAAGAAACCGCTCATGGCTGCTACGTGCAGGGGCGGGAGTGCACCTCCCAGGGCGTTCAGCGCCTCAGTTTACAGGAGCCAACCCTCAGGCCTTTCTCCTGAGGCTCCTCTGAGCAGACCTGAACCACTCCGCTGGCAGCAGCAGGGAGCATTAAGAGTTTGCAGCACGCAGGGACTCTGCAGTTTCTGGAGTTCTCAGCTGGCCCCTGGGGAGCGGCTTCTGTTAAGACTTTGGTTAAAGGCTGACACTAGGCCAACAATTGTCTCCGCCAGATGGGTGGTCATTCCGAGCCCCCACTGCCTTCCGAAGTGCCCAGGATCCCACAGGAATCAGATGGGGCCAAGAAGCTAGCCCAAAATAGGGCGGACACAGTGCAGAGCAATGCAAAGACCTGTTTCGCGCTTCTGTCTTCAAGAGTGGGAACCCCCTCACGGTAGAGGCAAGCCCACCATTTCCTGTGAGAAGCTGCCATTCAGGGATGCTGCCCTTCTCTCTTTAAACAGGAAAAAAAGCACTGCTCATGTTACAGGCTCTCCCTTCTGGGATGGGCCCAGGTCTCTAACTGAAGGTAGGGGTCCGGTGCTGAGTAAGAAGCCTGGTCCTTCTCCATCACCCCCTCTGTGAGACATTCTAACTGCAGAATCCTTGCTCACAGCATTGGCGCCACCAGAGCTGGCAGCTCCCTCCCTGCCACCCACCCACCTGCGTCTGCTGTAGGCCACAGCTGAGCTCGCTCGCCCCGGGCACCTGCTCTGCCTGCACTCCCAACCCCGCCCTGGAGGAACGCAGGCACCTGGTAGCAACCAGCAACCCACCCTCACCTCCTTCACAGAGCCTGTCAACTCCCCCAGCTTCTTACGGATCACTTCACTGGTCCTCACGGTTTCGGACTCGATGGTTTTCTAGGGAAAAACATATTGTCGATTTCTGTTATAAGTCAGGTGTTGATGGTTGCTCCTTCCTCACCAGACCTCCCACTAGGTGGTCAGGACACAACGGACCAGGACTTACCAGATGGTGACAGCTTGTTCTGGGGGGGGGGTCTCAGCAGCTGATGGCCCCCTTCCCAGAGAACATGGCTGCCAGCCATGCATAGAGGGGTGACCTCACGCCATCCTATTTCTCAGCAGTGTAACTCAGGGGTGAGATCACCTGGACCACCACCGGATCCATGCTCCCCAGCCTAGCCTCCAGCTGCTGTGTTCCCTCTGTCACTCCTGAATTCCATTCCCCAGAATGTGCTGGAAGCTTAACTCCTGGACTCGTGGACGCAGTCCCATTTGGAAAAGGGCTTTGTCAGCACAGAACAGAGCTCTGGGGTCTAGTCCCTACGGAGTTGCACTGCTAACCCAAAAGCAACTTCTCTGGCAGTTCAAATCCACCAGCTGCGCCAAGGGAGAAGGATGGTAATCTCCTCCCACAGGACTGAGTTAGTTCCACGGCAGAGAATGAGGGACCAACACAGGGTGTGTCCTGCACCACTGTATCTGAGACAAAAACAGCAGATTAGAGCAAGGACAGAGAGATCTTGCAAAAAACAGCAAGGAATAAAGCTGAGACAGACAAAAACAAAGTCTCCCGCTAGGGCTGCGTCCCGAATCCTGGCTTCCGGCCTCCTGAACTGATGCACAGTCTCTTCCTCAGTTACCGCCCTGGGATATCTGTCACAGATACCTAAAAGGGCCCCCAACCACTTCTGTGCCTCCCCACGCAATTCAAGATAAGGCCATCTTCCATCAGGCAGAACCCTCCAAAGGAGTGCCCTTACTGGTAGGCTGGTCTAAATGACAGAAATTCATGAAGGACACTCGTGGGTGCTCACTGGGGACCACGCCCTGGCTGAGGATTGACAGAATAAAAATCCACAGGCCCTGGACGGCTACGCACTAGCAGCTCTGCGGCCATGCCCATCCCTGGCATACGGTCACTGTGCGGCCTTGTGGGGCCTCACAGTCTACTAAAGGGCCCGGAGCCCGCTGAGAGCGGCTGGACCGTGGCGGCTGCCTGGGCAGAGCCTCAGTGGTGATGGACCACAGCACCAGAGCGGTAGCTCCCTCCACCCCTCTGCTTTTGGAGCCCCGGCCAGGAAGGGCTCAGGGGTGGTGTGATGCACATCCCGGGACCAGGAAGACGCAGATTCTGAAACTCTGTTGCACATTCTGCTCTCTTTGATCAGGATTCTCCTATAAAACTTCTCCCCTAACTGCTCAGTACTGGTAGCCGGGTGCCATCAAGTTCAGGGCTCAGGGCCTCACCCTCCTTCCTCTGCTGCTCCCAGAAGATACGGAGCGATGGTAGCATTTTGGATGGCTAGCCAAAGCTTTTAAGACCCCAGACACTACACAGCAGACTAGGTAGTTGTTGCGGATGAGTCAAGAATGACCCACAGCTACCCTCTGAACAACAGACCTGGACTCTGTCCTGTCCCATCATCTGACACACTGGAACCCACAGCTGCAAGCATTTGTCAATCCACCTGGCTGAGGGTCGTCCTCTCTTTTGCCTCCCTCAACCTTTCCAAGCACGATGTTCCTCTTCAAGGAACAATCCCTCCTAGTAACACGTCCATAGTATGGAAGACAAAGCTTCCCCGTCCTTGCCTCCAACGATCACTCTGGCGGCACTTTCTCTAAAACATATCTGCTTGCTCTTAGGGAGCTCTGGTGACCTAGTGGCAAGAAGTTACACTTCAATGCCAGAGGTACGTGGTTCAAATCCACCAGATGCTCTGCTGGAGAAGGAGGGGCAGTCTCCTCCTGTACCAGTCGGATCTGATTTGACGGTACACACACAAAAAATAATAAAAATTTTTTAAAAACACACACACACACACACACACACACACACACACACACACACACACACACAATATATCTGCTTGTTCTCTTGGCAATCCATGGCATACCCCGTGCTCTTCTCCGGCAGCGCAGTTCAAAGGCATCACTTCTGTTTCTGTCATCCTTATTCACTGCCCAACTGTCAACAGCTTAGCAAGTGACTGCAAAGTCCATGGCCTGAATCAAGTGTACCTTAGTCTTCAAACTGACATTGTTGCTCTTCAGTAATCTGCAGAAGCCCCTGATCGTGTACTTTCCCAACGTTAATACGTTGTGATCTCCTGACTGTTGGTACTGAGCATGTTGACTGTGGATCCAAGTTAGAGCAATTTGCTGGCAGTTCAAGCTTTTCTCCGGCTATCACGATGTTGTCTATGGGTCCAGTAGTGAGGATTTCCGTTTTCTTGATGTTGAGATGTAATTCATATTGAAGTCTGTATTCTTTGATCTTGTGCAGCAAATGCTTCAAGTCCTCACTTTCAGCAAGCACTGTCATGTCATCTGCATAACACAGGTTGTTGATAAGTCTTCCTCAATCCTGAACCATGTTCTTCTTCATAAAGTCCAGCTTCTTGAATGATTTGCTCAGTAAACTGACTGAACAGGTACGGAGAAAGAATACAACCATGACACACAACTTTCCTGATTTTAAACCATATAGTGCAGACTGGATTTAGAAGAGGCCGTGGCACTAGGGATATTATAGTTAATGTCAGATGGAACTTGGCTAAAAGCAGAG